AAAGTATACATTTTTTTTCCTTTTTAAAAATGTAAAAACAAAACAAAACAAAAACCTGGCAAGAATTAGTTTATTAATACTATAAAATAAGAATAACTTCTATAGACTGCAGCCAATATTGCCAATGGTCAGGGAAGATGGGAGCTGAAGTCTAACAACATCTGGAGGACCATACTTCCCCACCTCTGTTAAAATCTATTATGAAAATCCAAGTCATTTTTACTTCCTTCTGTTTTACATTGTAATAACCAGTGTTTATTCTCCTTTTGCATCTCAGGACAATTAGAATTAATTGTCCTGTTTCTTTATGCACCATAAATCTGCTATATGTAGAAAAGAAGAGGTCATATAGTAGTATTCTTCCAAGAAATAGTACATTAGAAAGTTTCCCAAGGAAGATATACACAAGCAGTGATAGAACCTTCATCTGCTTTTCTCTGTAAAGTAAAATATTTCATTGGGTTGATTCATAGTACCTTCCAAGAGGACTTAGATTTTAAGATTTCATGTGCATGGCCAAGCAGCACAAATATAATTGATGAGTCTTAGCAATTTTGATCTAAACTTTCTGTGGTGACTCCCAGTACTATATAAGTGGTAATATCTGCAGCCAATGGGTAATAGATATTAACTGCATTATTGATATATCGGTATACGCAGAGCAGTTACTTCCTTTTTTTGCAATGAATGTGTCTATCAAAGTCCAGTAGCTGGCTGTGCCATTTATTTCAGTGCATTGCATGATTCAGTGGTGTTTTGCCTCTGCAAATTTTTTCACATGAACATTTCCTATCTGCAAGCTGGAATGGAATTACTTGCTTCCCTGTTAGAAGTCTCCAGCCCAGTAGAAAAGCATATTCCTGTTTCTGCCTGTAGTTGTCTTCATCTGTAGACATAGTTAAAAGCACACAGTACAGAGGTACATACAGTCCTGCACTAGGGTTAGTGTGGCTGTGATCTGAATTTACAGCCACACTATCCTTCCTTCTGGAGGTATTTGTAGTCTGCCTTTCATTCAAAGGTTCCAAGGCAGTATATGATAAACCAGAGGTTAGCCAACTTGGTGCCTTCCAGCTATTGCTGAACTACAACTCCCATCAGTTTCAGTCTTTAAGGTCAAGGGCATGGGCTGGCAAACTAAGGCCCATGGGTCGGATCAGGCCCGTGGGCCTTAGTTTGGGTCTGGGTCTGGCCCGCAGACGGTCCGGGAATCGCCACGTGGATCGCCAGCGCACACGTTCTGTCCCTTTCCCACCCTCTCCTTCACAGGGCGGCACCAGTGCCTCCTCCCTCCCTCTTCCCGTCTTCTCCCTGCCCTGCCTAGAGGAGGAGGGGTCTGGGCTTTGTTGGTACCAGCAGCAGCAGTGCTCGAGTGGCTGCCATTTTACGCAGCCCCTCTCTGGAGCCCTTTTGCGCGTCACTCATCGTCCCTCCACCACCACTGCTGCCGCCAGCCCCTGCCGCTCACAAGACACAGATAAGCAGCCACCGGGGCTCATGGTGCTCTTGCATCATTCCCCCCCCCCCCATATAGTCTGGCCCCCCACAAGGTCTGAGGGACAGTGGACTGGCCCCCAGCTGAAAAAGTTTGCTGACCCCTGGTCAAGGGTGATGGCATTGTAGTCTAGCAATATGTGGAGGGCACCATGCTGACCTCACCTTCAACAAACATTAAAACTGCAATTAGCAATAAAAAAATTAAATCAAAATAAACTCATAAAATTTATAACCATCACAAATAAAACCATGTACAGCCAGGTGTATACAGTGGAACCTTGGGTTACGTACTATCCTCCTTACGAACGCTTCGGGTAATGAGCTCCGCTAACCCGGAAGTAGATGCTCCTGGTTGTGAACTTTGTCCCGGGATGTGAGCAGAAGTCGTGCGGTGGCGGCGGCGGCAGTGGGAGGCCCCATTAGCGAAAACATTCCTCATGTTAAGAACAGTTTCAGGTTAAGAATGGACCTCCGAAATGAATTAAGTTCATAACTGGAGGTACCACTGTATTAATTTTATTAAATAAAACAGGCAGCAGAAGCAAAACTAAAACATCTCTTTGTATGGTGGTACCTCTGGTTGCAAACGGGATCCATTCCAGCGGCTCATTTGCAACATGAAAAGAGTGCAACCCGCAGCAGCGCGGCTGCACACGTGCGGGTTGCGATTCGGCACTTCTGCGCATGTGCGTGACATCATTTTGCGCTTCTGCGCATGTGTGAGCAATGAAACCCGAAAGTAACCCTTTCTGGTACTTCCGAGTTGCTGCGGGACGTAACCTGAAAGAACGTAACATGAAGCAAACGTAACATGAGGTATGACTGTACTTCATCCCGCTCCAAAATTATTCTGAGTGTTGCTTCCTGATTGAAGAAGAGTTTGAGGTGGTCGATACCCCCCACCCAGAAGTTCACAAAATACTTATTTTTCCATTATCTGTGAATGGCAGGGGCGGTTGGGGGGTGCTGTTTCCTAATAGAAGCTCCTTCTTAGCGCTTTGTGGAAGAGCTTTACAGGATTTCACACTACCTTCAAAGCAACTGTTTGTGGAATAGATTGCCTAACAACAGATGACAGGAGCTCAGATTATGCAGCAGCTTGAAAAATGTTTGCACAGTTTCGATCTGTTTTCATAAGATCTGTGTGTCTGTGAGTGTACTTTTCTTTTTCAACCCTAGCTCTATTTATTTAAAACAGACGTAGGATGTAGATTACTTTCCTCTTGCCCTCCTGGTTAATTAAGGAAAGCCTGCACAATCTTTCCTGTGTAAGAAATCAGTCTGGCAGCAGCCATAATTTGGGAACTCCCTGCTTATTGACATCAGGCATACTTCCTTTTGCTTTTTGGTTCCTCCTAAAAAGATGTTTGTTTAGCTAGATATGTAGAATGTTTAATTAACATTTTAAACTGTTTTTAAAATGATTTTACTACTTTAGTCTTTTTAAAAATTGCTTTGAGGTTTTTTAAATTAAAGAATCAAGTGGAATATAAATTTCTTAACATAAAATAAAGATACAGGTGTGTGTGTGTTGGGGTCTGGTTTTATTGTTGCCAGATGACACAATTGACCATTAGAGTGGCATGCACAGACTTCTCTTCACCCAGCTCCTTTTGCATTATTCATTGCTATGGAAATAATAATAATAATAATAATAATAATAATAATAATAATAATAATAAAATTTATTATTTATACCCTGTCCATCTGGCTGGGTTTCCCCAGACACTCTGGGCAGCTCCCAACAGAATTTTAAACAGAATAATCCTTTATATTGCTGGGGATCAAAAAATTTCCTAAGTTTCTCTATAGTACTTTCCCCCTTCAAGATACATAGATTAGTGAAAATATAAATGAAGCAGCTGTATTTTATGATCACAGTCTATTATTCTTACATTTGAGAGATTCATTTTTCTTCATGGTGCATGCAGAGACACCCACTGTTTCCGTTACCTAGTTACTGTATGCTCTACTTAGAGTATGACAGTGTTCCAGCGGTTTTCCACATAGTCCTTTGATATCCTACTCTAACTTATAATTGGGACCACTTTTCCAAAGTGTATTGATATTCACAACTCTTAGTAATGCCATTCCTGTTTTAAAAAATCTAGCGTAGAGATTTTTAAAAATGTGAACTGCATTACTTAGAGTTGTGAATCTATACACTTTGGCAAAGTAACTCCCAATTTAAAATGAGAGTAAAATATCAAATAACTGATATTATTATTATTATTATTATTATTATTATTATTATTATTATTTTGGTGGTCTTAATTCTTGTTGTGGGTACATGCAATATCTATAGCGTATACCTGTGCTGCTGTGACATTTCAAGGGATAGTCCAAAATATTAATAATAATATTTTACTCCTCCCATCTGGCTGGGTTGCCGCAGCCATTCTGGGCAGCTTACAATATAATAAAAGCACAGCCAAAGTCAAACATCAAAAACTTCCCAATACATTAAAGTGATGGAATCTTCAAAAGAAATGTCAAGAACAACAATTTAAGGACCTTCTATATGCCTCTGGTCCATAAGTAGAATAGTGCCTTACAATTAGCCAATTGGCCCATATGTTAAGAATGATTGGTATCGGAACAGCTTCATTTACCAGAGACAGGGGCTAAGAAGATGCTATAATGGCTAAAACAGAAGGCTTTGAGGCATTAATTATTTGTTATTGGTGGTGGAAAATATTTGAGAACTAATGATACAAAAAGCTGTGTTGAGCTGATCGTGGTATTTCAGATAACAATTCCCAGTCTAGCATGTAGTTGGAATCAGTTCTATATCTTGTCATGGTGACTTGGTTTGCTCTTTATTTACAGGTTTTAAAATTCTATAAAGCACAGTGGAATTTCTCTAATTTATTTCTATTATTCTTGTCAGTAATAGATGCAGCCTCAAACCTTTAAGAATTTTTTTTTAAATGTTATTTCCCCCCCCCCCCCAATACTGCTCAAGTTACACTAATTTTGATTTACTTAAACTATTTTGGTCAGGTAATCTACTTTTAATTTAGTGAATTTCTTCCTTTTAATTCAAGTGCTTTATATTTTAATATAGCCATTGATCTAGCCAATAATGGGTTCTTGGAATTTCTAAGATTGTGCGCTTGGTGATGTGTTTTTCAGCAATAGCTGGTGATAATTTTCTAGCTTGCAAGATATTTTTAAGATTTGTGCTAGGGCAGGGGAGAAAGAAGGTGATGTATAGGCAATGAAATCATTTCATTAGAGATCTTCTTGAAATGGCATTTAAATTATGTCCAGTTTATGTTCTTCTATTTAGAGAAGAAAGATGCCTTCAAGAAAATCCCAGTCTTGTAAAAATAAGCAATTCTCCCAATGGTCCAATAGATTAGCACTCATTTGTTTTAGGAGGCTGTTTGTGTTTATGTATATAAATATAGCTCCCCTCTGCATACTTTAATACTGTAGTAAGTATTTAAAGTGATTTGCATTGATCTCAAAATTTTAATGATGGTTTTCTCTGTTTGTAGGATCTGGAGATTGTGTATTCCTATTTACACGGAATGGAAGCTTTGTCTAATCTACGAGAACACCAGCTCCGGTAAGTTGTTTAATGAAAGTGCTTTATCCTCTTTTTAACACAAGGTGCTGCTTTTTAACAGAAAAGATTCTGTTTTGGGAGTTAAGTAATACACTTCCTCTCAGTGTGGATTAACTGAAACTTAAAGCAAAACTAAAAACTTTAGATAAGGAATACCTAAATATACAGCCACTGGTCTCATGAAAACACACAGACACACAGACACACACACACACACACACACACACAGAGAGAGAGAGAGAGAGAGAATGGAGAACCAAATAGAACTCCTATATTGACACAGTTTTACATACTGTTGATTAGTGAAGTTTGCAGAGCAATGAAAAGTGATGGCCATGAAGTTTATTTGGGTGTCTTCTAAGAATGCCGTTTAATGATTTTTTAAAAATCGGTTTATTTGAAGTTGTTAGATCCCATTTTCTTTACAACTTAACTCAAAACAGCTTATGACACACTTTTAATATGAAATTCAATATGTAAGAAAAGGAAGTTACAGTAAAAATAGCTAATGATTTTTACTTCTGACAGGGTGTCACTTGGAGAAGGGCATTGGCCGATAGTTTTATAACCAAAGTGGGTTGATATGAGATCAGGTTGCCATGCATCTGTCTCAAAGATAATGGAATGTGTCTCGGGGGGGGGGGGGTCAAACCGCTGTGTTAACATCAATGAAGTGACCTCCCTGGGGTGCAAGCCTGGGCAGTGTGTATGGAGGTCCTGGGCTGCCCAGATGACAAGACTCACTGATGTGGTGCTAAGGAAATCAAAGCAATACATTTGGTACCAGCTTGGCAGCAGAAGTTGCACAAGGCACCATCCAACTGTCTTGGGGAATCCACTCCGAATTTGTGTAAGGTATTTTCTTCTTCCAAAGATACCCTGCAAAGCAGGAGAGGTTTAAGATCAGAGTTTTCCTGCTCCTAGATGGACTTCTTTCCCAGGTGGGCAAGCCCCATCTGCCCCTCACTTCCCTCTACAGCATGTGCAGGAACTGCCTTCTTAACCATTGGACCCACTATTGGGATCAGGTGCTTCTTAAGATATTTGGGTTCCAAGCAGCCTAGCGTTTTAGATGTAAACATTAGTAGTTTGCATTGGACTTGAAAATGATTAGCCAACGAGTGACACTCTTTTAAAATGGGTGAGATATGATCTGAAAGAGCTGTGCCAGTTAAAATTCTTGCTCTTGTATTCTGAAACAATTTGGGCTTCAGAACCATCTTCATAGGCAACCCAACTTACAGCACATTGCAGGAACCCAGTTGGGAGGTTAACAGAGCAAAGATAGCTAAGGCCAGACTATTCCTATCCAGGATAGCCTGTGGCTGGTGAGCTATCTATAGCTGGTAAAATATACTTTGTGCCACTGAAGCTACCTGGGACTAAAATGTAACCAGGAAAACCCTCAAGCTGCAAATCTGCTCCTCCAGTGAGAGTGCTCCCCCATCTAGAGCTAGCGAAGTGTTGTCTCCTAATCATATGGACAAATGTGGGTTCACACATTGCCTCTCTGAGCAATCTGTGTTAGAAGAAAGAGAAAAAGCAAGAGTATGTGTGAATGCAATTGCTTCAAATTGCTCACAGTGTTGTATTGTGGAACTCAAGGACAACTGAAGCCTGCTAATTAGTGTTCTGAAATACTAAGTATGACTTTGGGAACTATACATGCCTACACTTGGCTGTGACAAGTTCTGTCAGAAAGTTAAGGAAATATCAGAAATCTACAGCCAGATGGAAGTTGGTAACAGTTCCTTCATTCTTCATCACACATCTTTTCTTTTGTGAATGCACAATCAGAGTCTTAAATTTAATTGGAATAAACGTATCATGAGAATTCAGCTCTTCTGAAATGAAATTTTTAATGAAAGTAGTTTGGCTGAATGTAGGTTATAGGTAAAGTGTTTCAAGTTAGCAATTAAGCCCTCTGTAGAGGATGGAACTGGTGGGAATAGAATCTGTTAATTCACATTCCAGGAGTATCGTTAGATAAACTTTGTTAAATACATGTGAAAATCTCAGATGTCAACTTTATGAACAGACACATTTTACTGCTATCATTAAAGCATTTCACTATTATAATATTGAGCAACAAATCTGTGTGTTTCTCATCTCTGTCATGGTACCTGTTACTATTACAAACAACTTGGAAGATTAGATTGGAAAGAGTGTGCAACAGTGGCATTCTCTGCCTTGCTTTCCTTTTTTTTAAAAAAATTGCTCTTGCATTGCTGTATGTCAAAACATGTTCCAGCATCATATTATTAATTGTTAACACAGGTTGAAATTACATTGCTGCCTGCTGATGACAGGGGCAGGTACCATGGTGCCCTGAGCTAGGCCAAAATTTAATATTTGTATCCTGCTTTTCCAACAGCAATGTTGAACTCAAAGCAGTCCACAATAATAACAATAGGATTTAAAATTAGCATACATTACAACCACTATAATATCAAAAACACAATAGCATATAAATAACATAGAAAAACAATCAAATCCACCAATTAACACAATTCAATACAATCACATAGAGATTCAAAATACTGCATCAAAAAATGGGCTTATGAGCACCAGTGCTAGTTGACCTTATCTCTGAGAAGGGTAATTTTTTAACCCAGTGCAGCAGCACACTCCCAGGCAGCAAAATCTTTCATAGTTTTGAGCCTCAGCTACTTTTTCACCCTTAAGAATTTGATCACTTCTGTGGAGGGGTAGGGCAACAGTTTTCATAGAATATCCAGATTCTCTATGATGTCTTTTCTCCATATACAATATTTAGGGTAACTTCTTTTCACAGCTAGTTTGGAAGACTGCACTGGGCTCTCTGTCCCTCATTGCAGGTGCACAGGTTCCTTTGACTTGTGCCAAAAGGCTCACACCTCTGACAAAGCTTGAGCTTTTAATGTTATCTGGCGGGAAAGAGAACAGACAGCCACAATAAGCTTGGCAGCTGCCAGGTGGAAACACACAGAGATACAGACTCCCAGCAGACTCCTTCTGTAGCTGATTCTGGCAAGGGATGAGCTTTGAAAGTTACCTGGAGGGAAGGTAGCTACTGACATTAGTATATTAGATTTTTAAATAGCACAATTATGTGAGTTGCAACTCATGGTGGCAAAGAAAGTCTAGTGGCATAAAATCAGTTATTAGAAGCACAGTCGCTGACAGAAGTGACAATAGGGAATCCTCCATTTCTGTTGTAAATCCCAAAAGTACAGGAGTCTGCTTGTTCATTTTCTGATAAATCTTTTGAGTAAGAATTCCATTCCTGCCCTGGGATACTTGGTAAATGTATTAACTTTTCTGTGCTAACATGATTTGTAGCTTACATGTAACATGAGAGGTATTTCTATGCAGTAGAAGACCCCCCCCCCAGACTTAAGAGGAACCATTCACTTCAATAAAATGAATAAGACTTAATTAAGTAAATCTGTTTATCTCTTTATTCCTGCCCCCCAGGACCATATTTGCATAAACATGTAAGACTTAAGGTGCTTGTAACAGAGCAATATCATTATCTAATTTTTAAAAATAAGTTTATATCCTATACTCCCTGCATTCAGCATTTTGAGAAATTTGTGTATGTATATATTTAAAAACATAAATATGCCACATGCTTTGCTTTCTGGAATGAGAGCAAATTTAAATAAATGTATCTTCAGGCAGAGTTAACAAATAACATGGAAAGTGACACATGGAATGGAATAGAATCACTGTCACTTAAGGGATGGTGATCTTGACATTATTTTCCTCATGATGTCTACAACAACAAAGAACATTCTTTGTGAGGACTTAAGATTTCACTTCCCTGAAATCAAATATAGCAGATCATGGTCCGCAACCTTCGCTTTTTGCACATCTATTTTGATAAGTGTTTGAAAACCCACTGTGAGAAAACTGCTACATTGCAGCCATATATTAGTGACAGCCACTTATCCTCAGCATGTGTGGCTTTAAGGGAACTGGCCTAACTGTAATATAAAATAGCAGCTAATAAAAGCGCTCTTACTTATAAATGGTTTTTGTTTCTTTTTTCACAGAATGATGTGTGAAACAGTGAGATACGAGAGGCACGAAGCAAATGAAGTTTTGTACTAGTGAGTGGTTATCTTTCTTTCATACTACATTGCTTATATGGAAACTTTTATCTGATCTTTGCACAGCAGTTTGCCACTTCCAATTGTCCAATTGTATCACTGTGGGGGGGGGCAGGTAGGTGGGAGGTAGTGGGCAGGGGGATGTCATTTACTAGTGCTGGCATAAAATACAATGAACTAGATTATGTTGCATCAGAGATGAATTTAAGGGAGTCTTTCTACCTAGCGACATTCCACAGTGTACTTGTCCTAATACTGTGCTTATGTAATGTCCATACTCCTTTGTAAGTATTGAGAAGAAAGATGTGTATATGCAACTTGACTACATTTTTAACAGGTGTGGTTAGTCGAAATAGTTTTAAATATTATGGACCAATAGCACTTGTTGTTCAGTAGCATTTTGATACTTTCTGAGATCAGTTATTTGAGATCTAAAGCTCCTTCCAATGCTCTTGCTTTAAATTTGAATTTTCTTTCTAGCAGTTTACATATAGGACAAGTAGAAAACAGAATTTTATGCCATGTTTATCTACCCATTTTCCATTTGGCACTTGCATGACTGACCTGTTTGTTATAGACATAGAACAAATTTAGGGATTTCATGAAGGTGCAAACTGATTCATAGCATGGGGTGACATCTAGATCACAATTCTGGCTTCATCCTGTTGCATAATCTTACGATCCAGTTGAATTGGTTTGTGGGTCACACTCTATAGATATACTGGCAGGTCAATATAATATTGTCTTGTGATTTTGAGCATGATTGTTTGTTTTTCTTCCCTGCCCTTTAGTAAGTCCTGAGGCTCTCTCTTCAAAACTAGCTCCTACTATGATCAACCCATAAATTATTGAGTGGCCTATTTTTCTGTGTGCCTGTGTGTGTTTGTGCGTGTGTGTATCCTCCTCTGGGCAAAACATTTTATCAATACTGAGAAGCTATGGCTCCATTCTTGTGCACATTTAATAGAGTGAATGCTATGTTAAACCCACATAGGAATGCGCTAGAAGTCTTTTCTTTTGGAAGTTTAAATAGAAGCTATGGTATCTTCTCACAGGCACAGTATGGGGAAATGCCACACAAATTTGATGTGCCACTTTCTGTCAGCCAATAGGGTTAGAAAGTGTATCCACTGGATTGCTGTGGCAGAAAACATTAGGAGTTACACTGGGGTTGCCCTCATGCTTCCAGAAATCCTGGGAACAGGAAGAAGAGAGAGCTTCAAGCCTATATTGGGTGCAAGATGCTCCACATGCAAAGCCTCCTTACCCATCCTTAACCTGTTTTAGCAGCAGCGCAAAAGAGGGAAAAGGATCCCTGGGAGAAGGCATGGGGAGATATGCATCCACTGAGGTCAGTTAACCTGCCTACAGGGAGTTATTAACTGCAAGTGGGTGTGTTCCATTTCTGGGATAAAGACTGTAGGAAGAGAGGAAATGTTTTGGAGGAAGCAGAGTCAAATTCTTGTTCCCCCAGAAGTTTTAGTTTTAGGTTTTGTTTTGTTTTGCTTTTTGTGTGTGCAGAATAAAGGATTTATTGGGTGGGATGTAAATAAATGGACTCAGAGGATGCACTTCCTCTGAGTACAATTCCCACTCCCCCACCTCCCCTTTCCCCACCCCATTGAATAACTTTCCCAAGTGTCAACTCAGTAGTTCCTTGTGTTAGTGGAACTTACGTTGAAATTTAATGCTATTGCTTGCAGATATCAGCCTTAAGACATTTTTTTCTTACACTATTGTCTTAACTTTCTATATTAAATATGACCTAGCCAGCTTACGGATAGAGTAATGACAATAAAATAGCAGTTATTAAAATAGTGTACACAAGAAGGCTAAAAGCATACAGTGCCTCGGATTACCTACGCTTCAAGTTACAGACTCTGCTAACCCAGAAATAGTACCATGGGTTAAGAACTTTGCTTCAGGATGAGAACAGAAATCGTGCTCCGGTGGCGTGGCAGCAGCAGGAGACCCTATTAGCTAAAGTGGTGCTTCAGGTTAAGAACAGTTTCAGGTTAAGAATGGACCTCTAGAACGAATTAAGTACTTAACCCAAGGTACCACTGTACTAGCAATACAGTACTCTCCTGGGTGGTTGCTTCTTGGTGGCACAACTGCAAAGGACCTAGCAGATGGCACAGGGATCCATAGAAATATCTTTCAAGAGAAGCTATATTCTTGAGCAAACCAATATGGAGAAGAGCACTTCAAGTGGTCTCTGCAGAACTTATAATCAAACCAGTGAGAGGTTTTTTTAAAAATTGAAGGGGTGGAGCAGTCTGGGTTAATAATTATGACAATTGGTTTGTTAAGTGTTTAACAATAGTAAATGCTGTAGAGGGTGGTGGTGGGTAAAGATTGCCTCTGCTCTCAAACTGGCAATCCAAGAAAAAAGGGAGGGAGGAAGGAGATACTGTAGTAAAAAACAAAACAAAATGCCAGTAAGGCAGGGAACGAGAATGATAAGAACAACATTAATCAGGGCAAACTTGAAAAAAGAGGTGATTCTGAAAATATGTTTTCTTAAGAAAATGGAAGCAAGACAGAGACTGAGATGAATATCTAGGGGAAGTGCATTCCAAAAGAAGCAGGAAGAAAATGGTTAGAAACAGAATAAAGGATGTGAGGCTTTAAGATTTAAAGAGAGAACAAAGAGAAATGAGATGGGAGTGTTCAGAAATAGAGAAGGAATCTGGGTAGGATTGATTTAAAGGGGGAGGAGGAGCTTAAAATGAAGACAAAAAACAAGGGTAGGCAGTGAAATGACAATGCTTCTTCTGCTTAATTTGTATAAACAAATACAGTATGGGAGACAACTTGAGGCTGCAGCCACAGAATTTAGAATGCCTTTTAGACAATTAGCTAAAGCAATTGGTGCTCTTTATTGCTGCAATAAGATATAGAAGCAGCTTTTACTTTAGGGTTAACCATGGACCATAGGGTTTATGATTACACAAAGGCTTGATTTTCAGAGGAGCACGATTGTTCTGCAGAGGTGTCTGTTGTGAATGTGGGAGGGGGGGAGAAAAAGTTAGTGTTTCAATTTGGGCTGCCGATGTGTAAACCATAGCCTGTGTTAAATGATAAACATTGATTTCAGAGTATTACCTGGTCCTTAATGTTTGTTTCCAAGGGCAAAGAAAAGATGTTAGAATATTATTTTAAGTAAAGTCTGTTCTTGAAGCCTTTGCAGAGTTCTGCGTACCAATTTCAAACAGTGTGCTGAGGCCTCTTCAAGTTATGGACGTTCATTTGCACTGTGCTTCCACTGTCTTTGTGAAAGTCATCCAATAGGATATTTAATAATGCAAAGAGTAGCTGCAGCCAGACTAGTCTGTTGATTTTTCACTCCCCCTTCCTCCCCCTGAGGTATATTATATCTTCTGATAGCTAGACAGTTGGCCAGGTTGTCTTGGGATCTAGCCAGGTCTGCACTGCAGTAAATCAGAATTGCTTATTGGGAACATATTTTCCACAGGGAGCTTCCAGTCAGCTTTAACCACTAGGACCAGTGTATACAAAAATCCAGTCATTGATTTTGGCTATATAATGATTAAATAGTGTTGTAGCTTCTAGACCAGGCTTCATTTCTTCTAAAGGGTATATGCCAAATCCTGCGGCCAGTTGTTGGGGGTTATGATTAGATGTTAGTGGCAAGGTTTCTTGCTGGTGGACAGGATGTAATATCACAGTGAATGGACCAGGAAAGAGACCTTGTTGTCATAGCAAATGGCTTGATGATATTGACCCAGTGTGCAGCTGCTATGAAACAGGCAGTGAATGAATAACATGCACAAACTTCCACAATCTTGGATTTACAGCTTTTTTAACAAACATTTTTTGTGAATGACTTCCCTCTTAGGAAGAATTTTCAGACACCAACTAGTGAACCAAACCAGTTCTAACCAACTCTAACCAACTGAGCTGTTTGACCACCACCTGCTGGAGCAGGCCAATAGTCCAGCATCCTGTTCTCACAGTGGCCATTTTAAAGAAGCCTTACTTTTTATAAAAAGAAATTGGATATGGTACATTCAACTGGAATTAGCCCACTAGTTCTGAACTTTAATAACCATGCTGTCACATCAATCAATCATTCAATGGGCTGGTCCCTTTTCGTTCATGCTAACTATTTGTGACTTGTAACTATACTTGGGTTTAAAGCTTACAGAATGATTGAATAACTCAGGTCCTTAAACATATTTGCCGCACTTTGGTGGCTGTGGTGGTTATGAAAGTTATAGAAACAGATGTCCAATTTAATATGGGCATAATTGCAAAGGCAAAACAAAAGTTGTGCCAAGGCCAATGACTTCAATGTAAAAGATAGCAGAAAATAGTATTTTAACATAATCCTAGCATTCATTAGAAGCTAGTCTGGTTTCCAAATTGTTCCAAATTGTATGCTTAAAATTTGAGAGATAATGCTCTGCAACAGAAGGATCTTCCTGTCTCTCGGGAAACGTGTTTTAATATCGCAAGAAGAAATAAGATCAAACAGTTTTCTCCACCAGCAGCTAAATACTTAGCTGGTTCTGACCTCCAGAATTAAGCAGCTTTCTAATCTTGACTTTGTCAGGAAAGAACTCAGAACATTTTGCACAAAGTAGCAGCATTTAGTTTGGGGGTGGTGGAGAAGAGAAGAGGGACTTTAAATAGTGAAAGAAAAAAAAATGAAGACATTAAAATGTGTTTGTGTGGTTGTTCTGTAGGAGTGAATCATTACAGCTTAATCCTATGTTTGAGACTTACTCTTGAATAAACAAGTGAATTCCGTGGGACTTACTCCCACATGCGTGTGTACAGAATTGCAGCCTTAGGCTGCTGTACAGTTCTAACAAGCCAGTTGCTGTTATCAAATGCATTCAAAGTACCATTAAAGTTGTTTTGATATATAAAAGTATTGGACTGTATCAGACTAAATCTTGCTGAAGAGTACATTCATTGAAATGAATACATGCAAGCTAATCCATTGGTTAAGTTAATCCATTTTGTCCATTGGTTTTTATGAGTCCATCCTGAGTATGACTGAGTTGGATACAACACTATATATGTAACCACTACATGTTCAGGAAGAATCAGTTTTAGAAAATTCACCACTTAAAAAGCAGTCTGTCATGTACACTCACATGTAGATTTATATTGATAATGTTCTGTTTGCTTCTGTTGCCCAAATTGCGCTTCCTAACATTTTCTTGTTTTTATTTACAGCCCCGATGATATTGGGACCTGTTGGTATATTCTTCTGTCTGGTTCAGTATTTATCAAAGAATCAATGTTTCTTCCAAGGAGCAGGTATGACTAGAATTTGTTTTATAGTTCACATCATTAAAGATAAATAGTTCTCATCTAATATTGAAAGAAATGTAAATTAATTGCATCAAAGAGTGTTGAGGGGCTTAACATAGTTTCCAGGTTTGAGTCCATTCATCAACACACTTTGAATTAGATCTCTAATCACTTTTCAAAAGTAATTTGAGCCTATGTTCATACGCTTTGAAGAGAGTGCACACTCACCTCTTGCCACACGGTGCTTGCCCCATTCAAAATGCATTGTATTCTTCCTTAAAAATACGCTGACATTGAACCATTGGAGGAAGAGTGTTTCAGAGCTGAGCAGCAGTCACCAAGATCTTCTCCGGACATGACCTCGCTTCTGGGGCATAATGGCTATCACCAAGTAGCCTGTTGTCTATGTTTGTAGCGTAACACAGGGAACTCTTCAGCATGAGACACGTTGTTGGCAACTGCACATTCATGGTTAATGTAAAGTGGTACTGTTCATTGAATGTAAAAGCATGGTGCTGGTTCCCCCCTTCCCCATTTTTCTTGGAATGTGTATGTTCAAAAGTTAGAAAAAGACTTTAGAAATGGGGCAAAAGTGTTGTCAGTTGTTGATAATATCAGAGAGGTGGTGGCGATATGGGACGTAGAGGGGGGAAGTCTTTCTTCACATGCCTGCACTATACAAGCCATGATCCCCTGCACATATGTATTTTATCCAGGACAAGAAAGAATAGTTTATCAGTACTTGTGGCTGATCAAAGGGGGTGGGAAGGCCTCTACTTGTTCTTGTGATCCTTGTCTTCTCTAGCCAAGGTGCTGCGTTGTGTATGAGGAAGAGCACTGCCAACATAACAGGGTTTAGGGAAGCTGTATTTCCAGTTCTTTGAAAGAGCAAAGAGGACCTACCGTATTTTTCGCACTATAGGACGCACTTTTTCCCCTCCAAAAATGAAGGGGAAATGTGTGTGCGTCCTATGGTGCGAATGCAGGCTTTTGCTGAAGCCTGGAGAGCGAGAGGGGTCCGTGCGCACCGACCCCTCTCGCTCTCCAGGCTTCAGGAAGCTATCCCAAGTCTTGCAAGCCCGGCGGGATGTCCCGGGGCTCGCAAGGCTTGCGGGCAGCAGCCTGCACCCAAAAGCTGGGGACAGCGGGGAGGCGCAGAGCCGTCACCCCGCTATTCCCCGACCTGATCTGGAGGCTGGCGGGGGGAGAAGCAAGCCTGCTTCTCCCCCCCCCAGCCCCACAAGCTCGGGGGATAGGGGGATGGCGAAGCGCCGCCATCCCGCTATTCCCCGACCTGATCTGGAGGCTTCTCCCCGTCGCCAGCCCCGCAAACTCGGGGGACAGCGGGAGAGGCGCAGCGCGCCTTTGCCGCTGTCCCCCGACTTGGCTAGAAGGCTGGCGGGGGGAGAAGCCTGCTCCTCCCCGTCGCCAGCCCCGCAAACTCGGGGGACAGCGGGAGAGGCGCAGCGCGCCTTTGCCGCTGTCCCCCGACTTGTCTAGAAGGCTGGCGGGGGGAGAAGCCTGCTCCTCCCCGTCGCCAGCCCCGCAAACTCGGGGGACAGCGGGAGAGGCGCAGCGCGCCTTTGCCGCTGTCCCCCGACTTGTCTAGAAGGCTGGCGGGGGGAGAAGCCTGCTCCTCCCCGTCGCCAGCCCCGCAAACTCGGGAGACAGCGGAAGGGGCGCAGCGCGCCCTTCCCGCTGTCCCCCGACTTGGTTAGAAGGCTGGCCCAGCCCCGCAAACTCGGGGGACAGCGGGAGAGGCGCAGCGCGCCATCCCGCTGTCTCCCGACATGGTTTGGAGGCTGGCGGAAGGCTTCCTCCTCCCCCAGCCCCGCAAGCTCCCAGAGCGATGCCAAAGCTGCGCGCATCTTCGGCATGGCTCTGGGTCCCGTTCTGGGGGAGGGGGAAGCTCGGGCTTCCCCGCCCCAGCCCCGCGCCTGGCGGGGGGGGGAATAATTTTTTTTGGCCTTTATTTCCCCCCCCCCCAAATCTAGGTGCGTCCAATAGTCCGAAAAATACGGTAATTCACTAGAACTAGTTTACAGACCTATTCTTAATGTGAATTGCCTTTAATTCCGTGAAATAAAATGTACATTTTCAAGTAGGTGTGTGTAGCTACCACATGAAATTTGAGCCAGTATGCTAACTGAACGAATGCTGCAGTGTGAAAAAGATTTCTGTATTCATCTTGCATTCTGGGATACAGAGGAAAAATCTGACAAAAATATTGCCAAGTAGCAGGTTGATACAGATTTAAGTCAACCTTGAAAAGGTTTCTCTTGATTTCTTTCACTGTGCCTTCGCTTTGGGTGTCTCATAGCATTTAAATCAATTTTATGCCATTTTGCCTGAGGCTGTCAGCAAGGTAATACACAGATGTGGATTAAAACCACAAGAAACTGCATGCATTCTATCATGATTTAAAAAGCAGTAGTAACCAAATGGATAACGTGTGTATCATATAAAGCAGTTGCAGAACTGTGTTTAGTAAAAAGTGGTAGTTACTGATAACAGTAGTCACTGACCATTTTATAAATTCCTGAATTAACTACCAGAAAGTGTGATCAGTTAGTTATAGCTTAATCTTCATTCATTTCAAAAGGTTTGAGCTGCTTTCCAGGTGAACTCCTTAAAACGAACAGAAGTTGCACAATAGCACTGCTTGAAGGATTGTATCTCTACATGTTGATCCCAGAAGGTGATTGTACATGCACACAACCTTGTGCTCATATGTTGGAAGTCAACAGTATAAATTAGATGTGCACCTGAATGCAGAAGTTACTGGTTTGCACTACATAAAATTTTAGATATATTACATCACTTATGTGTTCTTGTGCTCACAAAAGGCTCTTGATCTAATGGATGAAGAAGGGATGCAATGTTATGCTAATTTTTCCCTGCAGACCTGCAGCGCCCCCCAAAACTTGTTCAGACAGTTGAGGAACCCTTTGGAACAGGATGGAAGATGGTATGGGGTGTGTCAGTCAGCACAATGACATTCCCTTCTTTTCTGTTAGCCCCGGTATCGGCTTGATCGTAGAATCATATACCGTATTTTCCCCTCTATAACACACAGATTTTTTCTCCTAAAAGGAAGGGGAAATGTCTGTGTGTGTTATTGAGCGAATGTGTGGTCCCTGGAGCTGAATGGCGCGAGTGGAGCCAAAAAAAATCAGGCAAAAATCAAATCGCGCGTCTCGGAGAAGGGAAACCTGAAAAGAGGAAGCGGCTGCTTTCCTGCATTCTGCCTCAGGGTCTTACTGCCCACCCTCCTCTGTTTCCTTGCTGTGTTTGCTCAAACGGAACAAAGAGCAGGGAAAGCCCCTCCCCTCCAGACAAGCAGAGGGGAAAGCAGAGTGTCGTTCCTTCCTCTCTGTGCTCCGGTGTTGCTGAAAACATGTAGGAGAGAGAGAGAGAGAGAGAGAGAGAGAGAGAGAGAGAGCGCGCTGGCTGGCTTGGGTGGGTAGGTGGGGGAAAACTTTTGCCTTCCTTTCCTCCTTCCCGTTATACCCCTCTCCTGCATTCTTAGCCAGCTGCTTCTCTGCACGCCCCTCTCGTGCTCCTTGTCCCTTCTGTGTTTTTCCTTCCCTCCCCACTTAAAATGTGGTTACAAAGCATGGATCCACATGGATCCTCAGGATCTTTGCATTGGGTCAGCCCAAATTCACCATCAGAGCACATAGCATGTCCATGGCTACAGCCTGCCCCCCCCAAAATTACGTACCCACTGTTGCCTGGGGCTGCAATGGTGCAAAAACGTGGTTACAAAGCATGGATCCACAGGGATTCTCAGGATTTTTGCATTGGGTCACCCCAAATTCACCATCAGATCACATGTCTGTGGCCACAGCATGAAGCACAAAAATGATACATCCACTGTTTCATTCAGAATGTTTTTTCCCTTGTTTTCCTCCTCTAAAAACGATGTGCGTGTTATGGTCAGGTGTGTGTTATAGAGCGAAAAATACGGTAATTGTAGAGTTGGAAGGGATTCCAAGGGTCGTCTAGTTCAATGCTCTGCAATGCAGGAATCCCAACTAGATCATACATGACAGATGGCCATCCAACTGCTGCTTAAAAACCTCCAAGGGAGGAGAGTCCACCACCTCTCAAGGAAGTCTTGTTCCACTGTGGAACAGCTCTTACTGTCAGAAAGCTCTTCCTGGTGTTAAGTCAGAATCTCCTTTCTTGTAACTTGAATCCATTGGTTCACGTCCTAGCCTCTGGAACAGGAGAAAACAAGCTTGCTCCATCTTCTATGTGACCACCCTTTATATATTGGAAGATAGCTCTCATATCTCCTCTCAGTCTCCTAATATTCAGGCTAAACATGCACAACTCCCTCAACTGTTTGTCATTGGGCTTGGTTTCCAGAGCCTCGATCATCCCTCCTCTGCACATGTTTCAGCTCGTCAATAACTTTCTTAAATTGGGGCACTCAAAAGCTGGCACGTTACTCCAATTGCGGTCTGACCAAGGCAGAATAGAGTGATGCTATGACTTCCCTTGACTGGGACACAATACTTCTGTTGATGCAGCTTCGAATAGCTTAAGCCTTTTTGTTGCTGCATCACACTGTTGACTCATGTTAAGCTTGTTGTCTACTGAGACCCCTAGATCAAAAGGGCACAAATTTGAATCCACACTTTGTTTGCGTATTTGGATAGGCACATAGTGTGAATCCACATCTATATTGGGATATGAATGGAATGTGTGTAGAAAGGTGCACCCCATTGAAAGTAATGTGGTTCAAATAAGCATATGTATGTCTGACATGCTAGAAGTTGCTGATAGGTGTAGAGAAGTATGTTTTGTATTGTATTCAGGCCTTATGATCTGCTCTTTTTCATGACTTTAGGTGAAATTCTAGCAAAAGATAATTCAACTCAAAGCATTAATTCAAACATTTATTTTTTATGTTTTAACAAAAAATGATAAAATTGAACATTTATGTTTAAGGTAAGTGGTAATAATTCAGATAACATACTATACAGTATCTTGTATCT